TGACTGAAACATTTCCCGCACTCTGTGCAAAAATAAGGACGTTCACCTGTGTGAATTTTCTGGTGTGTAAGAAGGTTTCCCTTGTGAGTGAAACATTTTCTGCACTCTGAACATGAATAGGGGCGCTCGCCTGTGTGACTTCTCTGGTGTTTAAGAAGGTCTCCTTTCAGAATGAAACATTTCCCGCACTCTGGGCATGAATGGTTTAGCTCCCCAGGGTGAGCTTTTTCATGTTTAAGAAAGTCCCCTTTCTGAGTGAAACATTTCCCACACGCTGAACATGAATAGGGATGCTCACCAGTGTGGCTTCTCTGATGTTTCAGCAAATCTCCTTTCTGACTGAAACATTTCCCGCACTCTGGACAAGAATAAGGACGCTCACCCGTGTGACTCCTTTGGTGTGTAAGAAGGGCGCCTTTCTGAATGAAACACTTCTCGCACTCTGAACACGAATAGGGCCGTTCGCCTGTGTGGATTTTCTGGTGTCGAAGAAGGGTTACTTTCTGGCTGAAACATTTCCCGCACTCTGAACATGAATAAGGGCGCTCGCCCGTGTGAACTCTCTGGTGTCTTAGAAGGTTCTTGTTTTTCGTGAACGTTTTCTCACACTCGGAGCAGGAATAGAGACGCTCACCCGTGTGAATTCTCTGATGTTTGAGAAGAGCTCTGGCTTTAGCGAATGATTTCCCGCACGTCGAACAGGACAGTGAACTCTCTCCAGAGTGAACTCCTTCTTTACCTAATGAAGATTCCTTGGGATTCGATGGATCTGTTGATCTCTCCGTACTGTGAGGTCTTCGATGTGTACCTGGAGTCACAGCTTGTGACATATTGGATGATTCCTGAAGATTGGAGGGTTTCATCGATCCCGGTGGATTCTGAGTGATGACCTTTTCTCCTGGAAAGTTTTGTGCCGCGTCATTAGATTTTGCTTCATAGTCTGGAGATGACGTAGGATATCCCTCAAAGATATTCCAGATATGGCGTCCACCTGCTGGAAAACAATTTGTATATATGTGTTAGAAGTGTCCTTCATGCCGAGAGTGGAGGATGATGGATCTACACGCTGACAGGTCCCAGGCAATGGGGGGGGGGATAAACCGCTGTGACAACAGGCAGCCCAGCCCTCACACACACACACACAAAGACCACCTGAACTGAGCGATCCCACACAGTGACAGATCCGACACAACAGTGTTGAGTGTTCCTCTCAGACTCAGTCCCTTACTGCAAGCTGGCTGATGGCTGCTGATCACTGTGGAGTTCCAGCCCTTCTCTTGCAATTCATTGGCAGAGGCGGAGGAAGGTAAGGTCTGTTTACCAACACTGACACAGATCAGCAGGCGCTAGAAGAGCAGGCTGTGGGATGGTGATGATGTCATCACTCCCTGACACATTGCACATGTGATGGATTGCTGACCGGGTCACACTCACACAGACATGAGACATTGGAGTCAGACATTACCTGCCTCCGCTTCTGCCGATGAATGGGAAGAGAAGGGTTGGAACGCCATAGTGATCAGTAGCCACCAGACGACTTGCAGTAAGGGACTGAGTCTGAGAGAAACACTGGAAGGAAAGGCAGCTCAGCTGCTACACTGGCCCCAGACACCTGGCTTCTTCCTCTGTCTTTTCTTCCTCCCCTCTGTCTCCTCCCCACCTCAGCTGAAGGATTATTCATGACAGAGGCGGAGCAGCGCCTGCGGAGGAAGGTAATGTCTGTTTACCAACACTGGCACAGATAAGCAGGCACTAGAAGAGCAGGCTGTGGGATGGTGATGATGTCATCACTCACTGACACATTGCACATGTGATGGATGGCTGACCAGGTCACACTCCCACAGACATGAGACATCGGAGTCAGACATTACCTTCCTCCACCACTGCCGATGAATGGGAAGAGAAGGGCTGGAACTCCACAGTGATCAACAGCCACCAGTCTGCTTGCAGAAAGGGACTGCATCTGAGAGGAACACTGGAAGGAAAGGCAGCTCAGCTGCTACACTGGCCCCAGACACCCGGCATTTTTCTTAGTCCTTTCTTCCTCCCCTCTGTCTCCTCCCCTCAGCTGAAGAATTATTCATGACAGAGGCGGAGCTGCGCCTGCGGAGGAAGGTAATGTCTGACTCCAATGTCTCATGTCTGTGTGAGTGTCATCACATGTGCAATGTGTCAGTGAGCGATGACATCATCACCATCCCACAGCCTGCCCTTCAAGTGCCTGCTGATCTGTGCCAGTGTTGGTAAACAGACATTACCGTCCTCCGCAGGCGCAGCTCCGCCTCTGCCGATGAATGAGAAGAGAAGGGCTGGAACTCCACAGTGATCAGCAGCCACCAGCCGGCATCCAGTAAGGGACTGAGTCTGAGAGGAACACTGGAAGGAAATGCAGTTCAGCTGCTACACTGGCCCCAGGCATCTTCGGCTTTCCTTTCTTCCTTTCTTCCTCCCTTCTGTCTCTCCTCCCTCAGCTGAAGGATCATTCATGACGTGGCGGCATTTCACTCAAAGTGCCGGCCCGTGCTGCTCCCAGGCACCCCTAGATGCAGTGTGCCGTAGGCAGCTGCCTATTTTGCCTAGTGGAAGCACCAGCCCTGCATAGGTGTTGATCTAGCAGTAAACATTGTTAGAGAGACCTATCATGGAGCTGGGAGCAGTCATAACATAAAAATATAAATCTCAGCCAGATAAAGGATAGTATGCCAACACAACTATAAAGGATGACAATGTGCTTTGATGACATGGTTTTGGTGAATTACAGAGATGGACCTTCCTCCACCTCATTTCTTGGAAACATGACAGTTGAGATGGACCTTCCTCCGCCTCATTTCTTGGAAACATGACAGCTGAGATGGACCTTCCTCCGCCTCATTTCTTGGAAACATGACAGAAGAGATGGACCTTCCTCCGCCTCATTTCTTGGAAACATGACAGCTGAGATGGACCTTCCTCCGCCTCATTTCTTGGAAACATGACAGCTGAGATGGACCTTCCTCCGCCTCATTTCTTGGAAACATGACAGCTGAAATGGACCTTCCTCCACCTCATTTCTTGGAAACATGACAGCTGAGATGGACCCTCCATATGGTGTACAGCAGTGATAGTCAACTTACTAGATATAGGGTGCCTCAAGCACGATCCATGATCCATGACCAAAGGCCCAAACATAACAAGTGTATAGACTACTACAGAAATTGGTCATAGATGGTGGACCTACAGTTAGGCCTGGACTGAAAGAACAGATGGCCAGCTTTCACTTCAGGGTATTATAAATAATAATTACATTTTAATTTATTTATTCAGACTTTTCAAATTTTTTAGATGTTTCCTTTCTCACCCTGATAATGTCCTGCTTCTTATGCCTTTTGTTTGACAGTAGCATGCTTGTTAGTCCTACAAATAGCCAGAAATTAATAATTTAGATTCACCCTCAAACTTTAAAAGAGATTTGCAAAACTCTTTGTAGATCAGACTCGGGCAGATTTGCTTAGCCCTACTGAGGATGAATGAATAAGTACCAAAAGACCAGATATAGGTCTTTGGTGTAAGTAGGACACACCAAAGCTGTGTAGTATCTCCATTTAATCTGCTAGAAACAAAATGTTGCAGTATATTGAAGAATGAAACAGATCTTTCATATGGTGTACAGGATCTCCTCCTCATTTGTTGGGCACATGACGTTATATTGAGGAATGGCGATGGACCTTTCATATGGTGTCCAGTATCTCCTCCTCATTTGTTGGGAACAAGACGTTATATTGAGGAATGGAGATGGACCTTTCATATGGTGTCCAGTATCTCTTCCTCATTTGTTGGGAACATGACAATATATTGAGGAATGGAGATGGACCTTTTATATGGTGTCCAGTATCTCCTCCTCATTTGTTGGGAACACGACGTTATATTAAAGAATGGAGATGGACCTTCCATATGGTGTCCAGTATCTCCTCCTCATTTGTTGGGAACACAACGTTCTATTGAGGAATGGAGATGGACCTTTCATATGGTGTCCAGTATCTCTTCCTCATTTGTTGGGAACACGACGATATATTGAGCAATGGAGATGGACCTTTCATATGGTGTCCAGTATCTCTTCCTCATTTGTTGGGAACACGACGATATATTGAGGAATGGAGATTGACCTTCCATATGATGTCCAGTATCTCCTCCTCATTTGTTGGGAACACGACATTATATTGAGGAATGGAGATGGACCTTCCATATGGTGTACAGTATCTCCTCCTCATTTGTTGGGAACACGACGTTCTATTGAGGAATGGAGATGGACCTTTCATATGGTGTCCAGTATCTCCTCCTCATTTGTTGGGAACACGACGTTCTATTGAGGAATGGAGATGGACCTTTCATATGGTGTCCAGTATCTCCTCCTCATTTGTTGGGAACATGACGTTATATTGAGGAATGGAGATGGACCTTTCATATGGTGTCCAGTATCTCCTCCTCATTTGTTGGGAACATGACGTTATTTTGAGGAATGGAGATGGAAACTTTCATATGGTGTCCAGTATCTCCATCTCATTTGTTGGGAACATGACGGTACATTGAGGAATGGAGATGGACCTTTCATATGGTGTCCAGTATCTCCTCCTCATTTGTTGGGAAGATGACGTTATATTGAGAAATGGAGATGGACCTTTCATATGGTGTCTAGTATCTCCTCCTCATTTGTTGGGAACATGACGTTACATTGAGGAATGGAAATGGACCTTCCATATGGTGTACAGTATCTCCTCCTCATTTGTCAGGAACATGTTTCTGCATTTAGTGTTTGTTACTTACTTGTGTCCATATGTAGAGAAGATTCCTCTGGTTTACTTTTCATAATCATCTCCCCCTCCTCCATAGACTGCTGATCTCCATTCACCAATGTCTCATCTTCTTCGTCTTTAATCACAACTTTGAAGCCTCTCAGTTCCTCTTCCTAAACCCCAAAGATGATAGGATACATTTGTAAAAAGTAACAAGAGATTAGATAGAAGAATGTCCTCTCATAGCTTAGAATACATTTTAGGTCTACATGTTCAGTCTCACCTACCTGATGATGTTGAGGGATGGTGTGACCTTCCTGTGAGGAATTCCAGGAATACAGAGGACAGGGACAACTCTCTGGTGGGTTCTCATGACTGGATCCATCTCCCTGATGATGGTGAGGGATGGTGTGACCTTCCTGTGTGGAATCCTGGGAATACAGAGGACGGGGACATCTCTCTGGTGGGTTCCCATGACTGGATCCATCTGTAGGAAACACACACACTGACTGAATCCATTGTTTCTATGTGTTTATCAGATGATGGGGGATCTAGGTGGATCCTCCGTACTGCTCTTTCCTTTACAATAAAGTCTCCTCTTACCCGGTGATGTGAGGGGTGGCTGATTGTCCATCATGACGTCCTTGTAGAGGTCCTTGTGTCCTTCTAAATACTCCCACTCCTCCATGGAGAAATGGACAGTGACATCCTCACACCTTATAGGAACCTGACACACACAATGATACAGTCACCATCCAGACACATCGCTTGTCTGTTACTGGAGAATGTCCCAGAATTCCCGGCACCGCTCACCTCTCCTGTCAGCATATCAATGATCTTGTTTGTGACCTCCAGAATCTTCTTGGCACTGGTTCCCTCTGTTGTTGCGCAGTGAGGTGGAGGCACTGTGATGCGTGATGCCCCATGAAGACAGCTGTTGGGTTTTAATAGATCACCCGACATTTTCTTCACCACTTTATAATCCTTAGTAAAAGGAGAAAATAGTTACAAAGATTCCCAGAATCCCGTTCTCACCTCTGGTCAGGTCTGTGTTTCTTTATTAGGGATAAGAGAGATGTCATGTGACCTCCCAGAATCCTCCTCACCTCTCCGGTCAGGTCTGTGTTTTATTAATAGAGATGAGTGATGTCATGTGACCTCCCAGAATCCTCCTCACCTCTCCGGTCAGGTCTGTGTTTTATTAATAGAGAGAAGAGTGATGTCATGTGACTTCCCAGAATCCTCCTCACCTCTCCAGTCAGGTCTGTGTTTTATTAATAGAGATGAGAGTGATGTCATGTTACCTCCCAGAACCCTCCTCACCTCTCTGGTCAGGTCCGTGTTTTATTAATACAGATAAGAGTGATGTCATGAGACCTCCCAGAATCCTCCTCACCTCTCCAGTCAGCAGGTAGATGATCTCCAGGGTCAGGTCTAATATTCTCTCGGTCACTTGGTTTTGGTATTTGCCCATGTTTGTTGATTTGGTCACGTGACCTAAACAGGACATTCCACTCTGTCAGCAATCTGATAAATAGCAAGACTTCCCGGAGAAGAAGAATGTCTCCACAGCGTTCCTCCATAGTCCTCATAGGTCTTTCTTGGACCTCTTGATATACTGTAGAACAGGCCTCATTTTTCAACGTTCTGACGAAAAAAAAAAAACACAGATTGCCTTTAAATGCAACTCCAACCAAAACATCATATTTTAGTTTTTTTAATGTAAGGGTAAGATCAGCATGTCAAATTGTGGTTACAGCGTCCACATGAGGCCCTCTGACCTACTCTGCACCCTCCATTGTTCTTTTACTTTAGGAAATGTTCTATCACCCTTTTTTCTGTGATTAAAAATCGTAAGTTTTAATTTTACCATCATTTTAAGTGGTAAAAACCAAAGTGGTATACACCTTTTTCTAGAATTAAGTAGATGTGGCCTTCAGTAGACACAAATCAACCCTCTTGAAGATAATATGTGAATATCCCATACAGAGTGACCAACTGTAGGGGCATATCCCTTGAAGATTCGGTCCTCTCAAGTCAACTCATTGATTTGAGTTGGTTTGACCTACCTGGGTTAGATAATACTGAGTGACTGAGTAAAAGTTACTATGTACCCTTTACTCATTCGCATATGGAGGAGCCGGTATTTGGGTGCCCTATTATTGTTGTAGAGGGTTTCCAGATGTTAATAAGCACCCACCTGCAGAACCTCGAAACCACCAGGCCAGGGTTGTGGGGAAGAGGCCCTTGTCCTCAACAAGGTGCTTTGGCAGGGGGTCCCCTCCTGACATCCGCAGGGTTTGAATTGGCACTTGAAACTTACAAGAAGCAATGGTTATGAGATCCTTGAACGAAAACAAAAATATTACTAAAAAAAGAGAAGCCTCAAGTGACTCCATGCAGGAGGAACAGTTGTGAAACAGCGTGCCTCGAAAGCTTGCACTACGATTTATTTAGCTAGCCTAAAACCAAATGTCTATCCTTATTTCTAATAAACCTCACAATGACGATGGAGGAAGAGGATGGACACGATGGTGGAGGAAGAGGACAGACACGATGGTGGAGGAAGAGGACGAACACGATGGTGGAGGAAGAGGACGAACACGATGGTGGAGGAAGAGGACGAACACGATGGTGGAGGAAGAGGACGGACACAACGGTGGAGGAAGAAGACGGACACGCCAGTGGAGGAAGAGGATGCGCACGACAATGGAGGAAGAGGATGGACACGCTGGTGGAGGAAGAGGATGGACACACCGGTGGAGGAAGAGGACGGACACACAGGTGCAGGTAGAGGACGGACACACAGGTGCAGGTAGAGGACGGACACACAGGTGCAGGTAGAGGACGGAGGTGAAGAGGACGGACACACCGGTGGAGGAAGAAGACAGAGACCACAATGGAGGAAGAGGAGGAAGAGGACGGGCACGCCGGTGGAGGAAGAGGACGGGCACGCCGGTGGAGGAAGAGGACGGACACGCCGGTGGAGGAAGAGGACGGACACGCCGGTGGAGGAAGAGGACGGACACGCCGGTGGAGGAAGAGGACAGACACGCCGGTGGAGGAAGAAGATGGAGACGACAATGGAGGAAGAGGACAGACACGACGGTGAAGGAAGAGGATGGACACGCCGGTGGAGGAAGAAGACAGACACGCCAGTGGAGGAAGAGGACGGACACGCTGGTGGAGGAAGAGGACAGACATGCCGGTGGAAGAAGAGGACGGGCATGATGATGGAGGAAGAGGACAGACATGACGAGGGGTTACTGGGTGTAAATATAAAATAATATCTTAATACCTCCACTGCTGCCAGTTTCAGCAATGTCTCCTCTCTACTTCCTCCCGACTCACCTTTTACTTGGAAATACTTGCTTCCATCGTATATCACTTCCTGTCTGTGCATTCTTCTGACAACCCGTGGGATCACCACCGCATGGAGAATGATAAAACTGCAGCCCATTTTTAGTACATTGACAGCTTCTTTTTCTTTTTTTTAGGTGCATTCTTACATTATTTGAATATTTTTCATCAGTGAAAAAAACATAGATATGGGAGTACATATTATAAGTGATTGGAAAATGAGCAAACGGTGTGGCCAAGCATTGGGAAAAGAGAATAGAATCCTAGGATGCATCACTAAAGGGATCACTGGCAGGAGGAAGGAGGTCCCGATTCTTCTATATAGGTCTTTATGTCAATAGAGGGGTCACCGGCGGCGGGAGGAAGGAGGTCCTGATTCCTCTATATAGGTCTTTATATCACTAGAGGGGTCACTGGCAGGAGAAAGGAGGTCCTGATTCCTCTATATAGATCTTTATATATCACTAGAGGGGTCACCGGCAGGAGGAAGGAGGTCCTTATTCCTCTATATAGATCTTATCACTAGAGGGGTCACCGGCATGAGGAAGGATAGATCTTTATATCACTAGAGGGACCCCCAGCAGGCAGTAGGATGTCCTCATTCCTCTATATAGATCTTCAGTTGTACCTCATTTAGAATACTTTGCCCAGTTCTGGAGACCTCACTTACAAAAAGATATTGAAAAGAGTCCAGAGACGGGGAACACAAATGGTGAAAGGTCTGAGGGATAAAACATATCAGGAGAGACCTCAGGAATATGTACAGTCTGGAGGAAAGAAAGGAAAGCGGAGGCATGACTGAAGCCTTAAGGTCCCTTTCAGATGGGGCAGACTCCATTCTGATCAGCAGGGGATCAATTTACAGATTCTCATCTGATTAGAGCAGAATGGGCGCTCCCACTGACCCAATGTAAGAGACATTCTTCCCACTGATCCCCAATGTAAGGGACATTCTTCCCACTGATCACCAATGTAAGAGACATTCTTCCCACTGATCCCCAATGTAAGAGACATTCTTCCCACTGATCACCAATGTAAGGGACATTCTTCCCACTGATCCCCAATGTAAGAGACATTCTTCCCACTGATCCCCAATGTAAGGGACATTCTTCCCACTGATCCCCAATGTAAGGGACATTCTTCCCACTGATCACCAACGTAAGGGACATTCTTCCCACTGACCACCAACGTAAGGGACATTCTTCCCACTGATCACCAACGTAAGGGACATTCTTCCCCTGACCACCAATGTAAGGGACATTCTTCCCACTGACCTCCAATGTAAGGGACATTTTTCCCACGGACCACCAATGTAAGGGACATTCTTCCCCCTGACCCCCAATGTAAGGGACATTCTTCCCCTGACCACCAATGTAAGGGACATTCTATCCACTGACCACCAATGTAAGGAGCATTCTTCCCACTGACCCCCAATGTAAGGGACATTCTTCCCACTGATCCCCAATGTAAGGGACATTATTCCCACTGACCTCCAATGTAAGGAGCATTCTCCCCACTGACCACCAATGTAAGGGACATTCTTCGCACTGATCCCCAATGTAAGGGACATTCTTCCCACTGACCCCCATCGTAAGGGACATTCTTCCCACTGATCACCAATGTAAGGGACATTGTTCTCACTGACCTCCAATGTAAGGGACATTCTTCCCACTGACCCCCAATGTAAGGGACATTCTTCCCACTGACCACCAATGTAAGGGACATTCTTCCACTGACCCCCAATGTAAGGGACATTCTTACCACTGACCTCCAATGTAAGGGACATTCTTCCCACTGATCCACCAATGTAAGGGACATTCTTCCCACTGACCCCCAATGTAAGGGACATTCTTACCACTGACCTCCAATGTAAGGGACATTCTTCCCACTGACCACCAATGTAAGGGACATTCTTCCCACTGACCCCCAATGTAAGGGACATTCTTCCCACTGACCCCCAATGTAAGGGACATTCTTCCCCCTGACCCCCAATGTAAGGGACATTCATGTAAGGGACATTCTTTCCACTTACCACCAATGTAAGGGACATTCTTCTCACTGACCACC